AGTTGTGCAATGAGCAAGAACAATCCAAATTAAGGCCAAGTAAAACAAATAACCAGTTTCTCGTCCCCGTCCACTTACTTTTTTTCCCTGACGCTTTCTTTAAAAAAAAAAATTATTCACACATTTGCTATATATTGTGCACATATATTGGCAACAGCTTGTCTTTTTACTTCATTCAAACAAAATTGTAGCTATGCAGAAAGGCTTATGGCTCCTTTATGGACACAATTTTGTGTCAGCAAAATAGTCGAAAAAATAGAAGAATTCATATGCCATCGTGAAAAAAACAAAAAATCGCCCGCCTCTTTCCTGTTTTCGAAATGGCCAGACGAGAAACTATTTTTTTTTCACTTGGCCTAAAAGTCAACAATTTATGGGTGCAGACCAGTAAATCGGTCCGAAATTGCCTACGCCGGCCAAATCACGATTTGCATGCCCTCAAAATCTTCAGTATTTGAGCATGCTGTGGGCCATGAACTTGAGGGTTTGTAGAAAATATGGGTGGAAGCCGCGTGCACAGGACTGGGAGTGTAAGGACTGGGAGTGTAATTTGGACCCTAAAAGCGCTCTATTTTGCAATGGAGTGTAGTTATCGTTTTTCAAAATGGCGATGGGCTTCAGGACTATTTTCAGGGGTGATCATCTTCAGATGGAAATTTCTCCTAAAAGTCATCAGTTGACCCCCGAAAATTAAAAAGAAAATGAAAGATGATGAAATAAGCTTTAATTTGATGTGTGTCTCGAACACCTTGGAGAGTTGTGAGTATTTTTCCCGAATTTCTGAAGTGGGAGCACTTACCATTGGGGTCTATGGAAGTTTATTTACTGGTCTGCTACCTTAGTTCACAAAGATGAACAATGGACTTTTTTGAGTTACTTGCCCTTTAGTCTACCAGATTTTTTACCCTGAAATTCATGGCCCTAGATACTCACCCATGAAATGCCCTCTTTGTTTGGTTTCTTGGGTCTGGTGCCGGCCAACTCTGACTATAGACTGTGCTGAGGAGACTCATGTTGGCTCCGGACACTCCCAACGTCATTCTCGGTCATGGCCATGAGGTGGGGCTATTCCACAAGGGTCATTTGAGCCTGAAAATTAAACAAAAAAATCATTTGTTTTTTATCAAAATGGAATAAAAATAAATGTGATGACATGCCCCTAATCTCAAGTGATACTTGATATTATTTCCTAACAAGAAAACCTAATATAGTGAAGACAAAACAAAAAATGTTGACTACATTCCACAGGAAGTCAGATTTTTACATGCTTCCTTCACAGGCCAGTTACAAAACAAGCGGATATTTTGCTGAACTTGATCGTGGGTAATGTTGAAGTGATTTGCAATATTTCTTTTACCTGACAATTGCAAACTGATAGACCTTCAAAAAAAAGTTTAGTTAGGCCCAAACAAAAAAAATACTCGGTCTCTGGTCAGCGCGCGCGTCAATTTTAATCATGCGCATCAACCTTTTTTTTTCTTACAAATTAACACGGAAGCTACAACGGCGCCCTCTGTTGCCGCACCTCCTCAAATTTTTGTACCAAGAAGCACCAAGGAATGGGAAATTGCACCAAGGCAAATGATAGAGGGCACCAAGGCAAATTATGGAGGACACCAATGTATAATGAGGACACAAAAAAAGCAAAATAGTACCCACCTTGTCTGTACAATTCAAGCTTGGAAAAAAAAAAAAAAGCCACCCCCCCAAAAAAAAATGCGTCGCCGCATCAATTCCGGAACTTCGGTCTGACCAGAGACCGACTATTTTTTTTTGTTTGGCCTTATACTTGAATTACTTTTAATTCAATCAAGTGATCCAGAACTATTGCACTGACTGTATCTAGAATCCAAAATTTTCCGGGGCCCTTAACTAATCATGTTAACAGGCCCAAACTCCTCACTGTAAGGGCTTCGTTCTGTTCAAGGTATGTCTCCCCCCCCCCCCCCCCCCCACTTTTGAGGGAAAAAATGTTGCAACTTGACACCACTTTTTTCTTCATATATCATCTCAATGATGGTCAGTCATTGCAAAAATGATGATACCTGGACATGAATGGTAGAACGAAGTGGCTATCGTTACGGCACTCGTTGTTTAGCGCCCCCTACGATACTTTTTTGATACGCACGCAGGTATATAATTATTTGTTTCCCCACGTTTTAGCGTGCAGTGCGACAGCTCGGTCGATAGAGGGTAGGATTTTGCACCGCGAGGTTGCGGGTTCGCATCTCAGTTTTGCACTCGAATTTTTTTCCTTTTCTAACCTGAGGCTTTGGAGGATTTTTTTTAAAAGGGAAATAAAGTCCGAATTTCATAACGTTCAAATTCACTTTTTTCCTTCTAATTTTATATTTTCTTCTCATGTTTTTATAAAAGTTGCAGTCTACCGTAACGATAGAAAATGGGAAATGCGTTACGGCTGCCGTAACAATAGCCACTGCGATGGTAGAAACATTTCCAATTTTGTTTGGAAATACTTAGAAAATTTTCTTAACTCTCCATGGACTTTGTACACAACCGCTGAAGTGGCGTCAGGTTGCAACATTTTTTCCCTTTTGAGAAGCATTGATGTCCTTGAACATAGGCCTATTTTCATGAACAAACCATCACTCAAATTTCAAAACTGAATCTGACGTCGGAATGATTGAGGTTTCTTTTTTGGCAGTGGATATTTTGCCGGAGACGGCAAACCTTCAGTAAACGTTAGTTTGCCGGATATGCACTGAACATGCGCAGTTACTGTTTTTTTGTACTTAAACATTTTCCGGTGACAAATTTTAGTCTGGCTCCATGCCAATACTATCGTTGTATTTTTGTATTTACAAGATGGGAATCAGACCATTTTATAATTAAATAATAAAAGAAGAATATTCTTATTTATTTGGGGATGGGAAAAAAACCCTTAAAATTGTGGCGGGATCAGGATTCGAACTCGGGACATCCCACTCACTAGAGCCATGGCCTAACCACTGCACCAACTGTGCTACACAACTTTGGTTGGAATTTAATACATGTTATAATTCAGCCCTATCTCAAAGAGTACAGCGCCCTCTGTTGATATGGATTGCCGCCGGCAAACCTTTAGTAAACGTTAGTTTGCCGGCGTTACCTCCGGCAAAATATACACTACCTTCTTTTTTCGTGCCTTCTTGAGTCTTCGTTTCGTTAACTATGCCTATTGTGTAAACAGTGGTGTCGGAATACTACATACTATTCTATCCTTCCTCGGTGGTTATTTACACGTTTGTCTCTGGGCAATTAAACCATGGAGGTAGAATTAGATTAATTAGCCTTTTCTTTCTGTGACACACTTACCACGCAAAACACCTGACACCTGTCGCTTACTTCGTTGCCTTGGCTCTAATTGACTAGTCTGGATGTACGGGGCGGCATACCCCACAGCATATGGGAGGTCACCGCGGCGGATACCAGGTTACTTTTGTGAATTGCGCCACCAAGTGACGACATCAACTGGGTGGTTTGGGGGGGGGGGGGGGGGGGGGGGGGGGGGGGGGGGGGGGGGCGTGGGGGGGGGGGGGGAGATGCTTGTTACTTTTGGACAGGTGGCGATTTATTATGCGGAATCTATTCGTTCACATTGTACAGTTGCGAACGCTATGCAAAAGTGCTTTTTCCGTTATATTGAAAAAAGTTGTTATTAAAAGAGGGAAAAGAGGAAATTGGCGGTAAATATCTGTCGTCAGTCTGTGACTAAAACACACGGAACAGCAAATTTATAGAGTCAATTCACATAAAACATTTTTTTTAAATAATGAGACATCCAAAATGAGACAACTAAAAAAATCTACCCATATTCATTTTTGGAATAATTTAGTACGAATTATTTGCGGCCCCACAATAATTAAGCCGTCTCTTTTCTTTTCTTTGTTTTTGCATTTGAGCCGCAAAAGCAACAAAAAAATAATAGGGTTTTTAAGCTATTTTTTGTTAGCTTAGGTTTTTTTGACAGATGCCCAAACAAAAAAGGGTTTCTTTTTTTTTTTCAAATGAAAAAAATGTTTATTTCGGGGGGAAAAAACCCGAATTTGTTGAGGAGTACGGACCAGTGGAGTAGCCGGAGGGCGCCTGGGGGAACGAGCCCATCACCCCCCCCCCCAATTCCCAGTGCACCCCAGGTGCCCCCCCCCCCACCTCCCGCCACAAAAAAAATCTGAACTTTGCCAGTTGTCAAGAAATGTTCGTTTGAAAGTATCTTTTTTAGTTATTAAACAGAAGAGAAATATAGAGATGACTATTTTGGAGTTCCCTTGACCGTACGGCTTTAATAAATTGTGAATAAATTGATAATAAAAAAACACCCTCTAGTATAAAACGAGCTCGAGCCCCCCCCCCCCTTCACAGCACCCTGGATATTTGGGGCAATGTTCTCGGGTCCGCCCTTGATCCATAACATGTTGGACGTGCCCCCCCCCCCACCAGTGAAAAAAATCCTGGCTACGCCCATGGTATACGGAGAAACACAAACCTATGAGTGTGAGTGTAACATAGGCAGCAGGATATGATGAGAATTAAGTACTTGCTAAACAAAAGCCTGCGCATCATCAGTACGGAAAAGTCCACTTGGAGTTTACGGTGCGCTTTTCAACATAATTTGCATGCAGAATATAATGAAAACACATAACTTGTAATAAAATGACTGTGCTTCGAACATTATTCCTACGTTTTCTGCTGGTGGCCTGTGATTATGCGAACCCAGTTGCCTTGATAACTCACTCATAATGGCCCTGCAAGAACATTTACAGATAAAATAATAGTTTGACAATTGCACGAATAGTATGTTGATCACCGGTACCACGAAAAGCCACGCCTCTTTGGCTATAATTAACGCTGGCTGAACCAATGGTTAGTCTTTAAACACATGTCAACGTCACAAACCGAATTCTCTAACTATACACTGCGATGTTATCCGATTTTCCGTGTAACAGCACATTATGACCACTTATATAACAGTGTATAATTCCCGTGGGTGTCAGTTTTATGCTTGTCTGAACCATAATTGAATTTTAGTTTTACGAAACTCAATTCATCAACATGAAATGGTGAAATAATCTTGCAAACTGGGCCGGGAGTACACACCAACATGCAGGTAAGTTTCTGAGGAAAAAGCGTTTCGTATACACCATTTAAACGCAATAACCCTAAAACCTGTGTCGTCAAAAAAGCAAGTAGTTTAGTGTGTTTTCTGACTGTCTGGAACAACAAAGAAAATGACACAGAATACTTGTTTCAACAACTGTCAACAACAGTACACAATATCTTTATTAACGACCCTGGTTATATAGGCCAACAGTATGATTTATAAAATCCACTTAAAAAGAAAAGAAAAAAAGACGGGCCTTCAAAAGGACTTTGTTGAATATTTTTAAATTTTAAACTGAGGTTTTATCGCAAGTGATGTTTGAAGACAATTGTGACGACGATTGTTAAAATCGCTATTTTTGGGACGAAAGAGGTTTTATGATCATTATCTTTTTTCATCTAAAAGTAGCTTATGAAATTGGCTTTCCAGTCATTATTATGTTTGGTGCTATATATTTTTAAATATGAAATATAATTTTGGAGGTTTGGGTTCCTCTTTTTTTGACTCACCCTTTATGATGTGTTTCTTCCGTGATCGTTATAGCAGGGAGATGTCCATTAAAAGGATAATATTATTTTCTAATTTTGTTTAAGCAGAACACGCGGATATTCCATCTTTTGAATTATGCAGCTTTAGCCTATTATGCCAAATAATTCAAACAATCGATCGTGAATTTGGCCAGTAAAAAACACCCGTGTGAAATGTCTACAACAGCTGTGTATACTGCACGTATACTGCAAACAGCTAGTTAGATTTGACTACAGAAACTTCCGCCCAGCTGACTACAGCTAGGGTCGCTTGGTGCACGTTCAGTGACTGTTTTCTAATCAAATTTTAACTAGAAAAGACTAATTAAAAGCACGGTGATTTGAATAGGTTGACTTTAAGCAAGAACGAAACTCCTTTTTGACTTTTATCTCCTTGACTCATTTTGTGAGAACAAAATATTGAAAACATCATTCCGATTTCCATCCGCAATAATAATTTAGGGTAACGTCAATTGTAGGTGACGCTGTATGTGATTCTGTGCGAGTGTATAGGCTTACCACCGCAGCAGGTGTACGGCCTACTCACGGCCGGCTGCTTACGCTACTGGTGCACTCCACTTGTATTCCGTTCATATTTTGAAATAATGGTAATGTTATTTGCGCAACGTTGGCATGAAGTTAGCTCACTGTTGGTTATATTCCGGTAAAAAAGTGGCGAACAGTTGGGAAGAATTTAACCCTAAAAGGGCCGGTTTATTTTGGCCATCACACAGCCGGGGGCGGATCCCCCCCCCTCAGATCTCAGCCATCGAGTGACGAAAATTATGAAACTCGGTGCATGCATAGAACAATAATTTGAACATACCCAAGAAATTTCATGACTCTATAGGTCAAAGAGTTTTGGAATTATGGCTAATTAATTATTCATATGCATTATGCACCAATGGTAATTCTGCTTTGTGTATACACTACGTGTATGGTATGGGGAAATTCAGTTTTCACTCGCTGCGCGGCAACCCGTGGTCCGAATTTTTGGTATCAAAAGATGCGCAAGACTCGAGGATAAAAAGTCAGGACAGCTCGGGTCGCGAAAAAAATTTTGCAAGGGTATCCCGGGAAAAGTCGGGGGGGGGGGGCGGATGCCCTTTTAGGGTTAATTCAGAGTGTCGGTATGTTGAACGACCTTGGGTAAAATACCGTGACAAACTTTGGCTCTGTATGAACAAAAACAAGTTAAAGTTGTTTTTTTTCCTGGGGAGGGGCGGTCAACGCCCGGTTGACAATACACATTATAAGTTACCACTTTTGTTATTCCAATATCTTCATAAATTTCAGCTGCAGAAGGACTTCATATGCGTAGTGATCCTAACATGTGCAATCTTTGGTATAAAAATGCTCTTGGACGACCTCCAAATCAGTTCGACACATGGACGCCGCAAGGACACGCTGCTTAACGGCGACGACCCCCAGCAAGACTTTCACCGCCTGGACAACGTCCCGAAGGGAGAAATACCGTACGGGAGCGACATTCGAGCGGAGCTGGTCGAGGCTGACGAGCGGGACAATTCGTCGCCAGAGCTCAGCACGCTGATCGCGACGCGTGCCAACACCAGCAAACTACGCGACAAATGCCCCCATCAAACTGGCTTTCAAAATGTGGACGATGCTAAAGCAGTTCAAGCGGAGCCTGTTCTTAAAAACGACAGCGTACCAATTAAGGAAGATGCTAAAAACGACAGCATACCAATTAAGGAAGATGCAGGAGGACCACGCCTGAGATCTTCCGTCAAGCATAACTTCAGAAATTTGTCTAAGGCATTTTACAGACTCGCTCCAGACGTAAGTTACTTATAATTACAAGGGGATGTTATTTTTAAAGTACGAGGAAAGCCACATGAGGGCGCCTTACCCGCTTGCGGGAGTAGCATTAGGAGTTGTTCGCTCGCTTGAGCGAAAATGTACGAGTCGCTGACTTGACTCCTGAAAGGTTTGCTTTTACACATGTACATTTGTAATGGTTTAAGAGACGGGTAAGTCTAACTGCTTGTTGCAGTGTGACGCATAAACTTTACATTATAATGTACTGTCTATACAGTGGCGTAGCAAAGTCATTTTAGTGTGTGCGTGTGGGTGGGCGGGCGGGCGCGCCGGGTTGGGGGGGGGGGGGGGGGGGGCTGGACAGTGGCGCTGTTCAAACCGGACGATCATGGGCAATATTAGACAATAGATGGCGCTTTTTCATGAGCAGCACAATTACCGAGTGCCGGCGTTCGCACGACATTCCTTAAAGGGCACTTTTTAAAAACAAAGGGCGCTCGTGAAAAAGGGCACTTGTGAAAAAAGGGCACTATTTACCAAAAAATGGGGGAGGGGGTTAATACCCCCTTACCTCCCCGCCCCGCTAGCTTCGCCACTGCTATATGAAGCATTTAACTACACTGGTTTTGTGCCAATTGGGAATGAGGATCAAGTCGTACCTTGGCCAAGTCGCCGCGCCATAATTGCCCGCGAACTTGTATAATCACAACATTCGCCATTTCGCACATTATTTGCAAAGTTAAGGTGTGGGTTCTTCGACGCAATCAAATCTGTCCAGTTTATTTTCTTCTTGGGAACGACTTGACACCTGTGGACACGATTCATCGGCGAAGTGCGAGTTCATGAAATCAGAAACAGTTGATTCCTACCTCTAATGTCCTGAGACGTTAAAAAGATACACCCTAAAAAGTCCTTTGTCAGATGGGCCCAGAATCGGGGTGCTTTGTGACCTAATATTCTTTTCAGGGTCAAAAATAACACTTTCCTTTGTCGAAATGACACCTTTGCCAAGAATGATGTCTGGGTCAAAATGGGGTGCATACCTATGTTCCCCAATACCGATGTTCCCAATACCGATGTTCCCCGAAATCCTTACCATATAACCCTAACCCTAACCCTAACCCTGACCCTAACCCTAAGGATTTCGGGGAACATCGGTATTGGGAACATAGGTATTGGGGAACATCGGGTAGACCCCGTCAAAATGGCCTAGAAAATTATCCTGGCGAGCAGTGTTACTTTGCCCCTGAAATATATCGGGCCGGGTCAAATAAAATCAGGATCATCCGGGTCAAATCTTACCCTGACTTTCGATAGTGATATCTGATATCAACCAGATCTTCGATGGAGTGCCCGAGCGATTTCTTCACGAGTTTAAGAACCCGTGCTGGAGGGCACCGTCCCCGCTGGCCGCGGGAGGTAGACGCGTCAGTGCAGGTGCGGCAGCCACCACCACCCTTCGGTGCATGCCGTACTTCTTTCTCGCCGGAATGCCCAAATCTGGAACGACCGACCTCCACGCCAAGTTACACGGTCACCCGCAGGTGATCCAGACGACGGTGAAGGAGCCACATTGGTGGACGCGGCATCGCTTTCATGGAGGTTAGTTCCTTGCTCTATGGTTAGTTCAATTTTTTTGTGGCGGTTCCAGGGGGCCAGTATAGTCTTCTTTGTACCTCACCACTGACTGAATGTCATTTTGTGCATACGACTGATGTGGTTATCTATCCGGTTCGTAAGTGACTGCGTCATGCCCACACACCAATTACTAGCGACTTTGTACTACTTCCGGTTTCAGTGGTTCCAATGGTACTCCATGTGCAGTGGGCGTGGTTCAAGTTAAATGACGTCACGCTTAATACAAACCGGATAACACTGACTGACTGTCACTTGTGAATTAGACTGGTTACATTGTCCATTAAGTTACCACTTCAGTTATTGAAAGAACTTTTTAGCCATTCTAGAATGATAAATTATTTTTTGTGAATTGCAATTTTCAACTTTCAAGATTTAATTTTGGTTTTTTTTCGTCAGTGAGCTTACAGCGTTACCTTGAAAGGCAGTCGATTAACATTGCATCACGGCTTGTACATGGCGCAGATCCAAACATTGTCATAGGTGAGAATTACTAGCTGTAGGTCTGGTTAGGGTCACACACTGACCCCGTGACACGTTTCATTATGACCCTGTAAAAAGGGGACTTTGATTCAATGTTTATTTCGAACGTGCAGTTAGTAATATGCACTTTTTTATACTATTTTTTTTTTCGATTTCGAATGTGTATAGATGTTTTTTATTATCTGATCTTGTGCTTTCATCATCGATAGTAGAAAAAAAGACATCAGCATATCATCAACTACATTGTACTAACATTTAAATCATGTCTTGACTTGAAATGTTTTAAGATCCCCCAAATTTAGACTGTTTCTGGGTCATTTGACGTCCGCAACGCGTCGTTTGACATCCGCACCGCGTCGTTTGACGTCCGCACCGCATCGTTTGACGTCTGCACCACATTGTTTGATATATCAGCTGAGACGTTTGGCGCCTGCCGTCTGCGTCGAATCGTTTGATGCATCGGTCATGAACTTGGGCTGATCGGCTCCCCCTTGTCTCTCTTTCAACAGGAGACTCGTCGGCTTCAACGTTTTGGGACAACACGCAATGGCATAAGTTCTCCGAGGACATCAGCCCACCGAACATATTGTCTGAAATAATAAGAACGATCCTGCCAGCTACAAGGATCATTGTCATATTCAGAGACCCCGTCGATCGGTAAGTATGGACAAGAACGTAAAATTTCAGTTTGTAGGGTTGTGAGGAGGTTGTTAGCAGAAAATTTAACAGAATATTTGAAGGCAAATGCATCTTTAATAACATGCTTTCACTTTGGCCTAGCTTATATTGAGGTCAAAACAAACCAATTGCCACAAAATGCAATGTCAAAACCAAATCTGTTTTGCGGAGTGAACCTCAAAAAATAGCACGGGCAGTCATCTTTAAACAAATGAAAGTATGCATGCATGTGCTAAATTTGTTATGTTTCCGGCTGTTGTTGGATGATAGGTTGTACTCTGACTTCAACTACTTCAACCACCACAACTACGACAAAGGCCCGTCGATTTTTCATGATCTGGTCGTGAAGTTCATCGCCGAGTTCCAATCTTGCCTCGGGAAAAAAGCCACGGATTATCGCGACTGCACGTACCTTCTACAAAACAAAACTCAGACAGTAAGTTTTGTTTTTCTCTTCAATTAACTATTATTTAATCAGTTGATTGCACTATTAAGCATTTATAGTAGGCATAGTATGGGAAAATATTTTCTTCTCCATCCTTTGACGGATTGATCTGACATAGTTGCCTGTTATTGCCAAAATTTGCCGTTCAGAGTGTAATATTCCAATTTGTCTGGTCCACTATTACCAGTCTGTATCAATACAAACTATTCTTGTCTTTTTGGGGGTAATTTTGTCGTCTGCTTATTTTGGTCGCTGCTTAAATTTCATTTTGGTTTACCAACCTGTCCTGCCATTTTTTTTTATAGGGAATTGTAGGCGCACAGTGAATATTTTACAATGACACGTTATTATTTTCACGTTTCAATCTGATTCCAGAGGATGAGCCTCGGCATGTACTCAGTTTACCTCCGTGATTGGCTGAAAGTTTTCCCACGTGACCAGATCAGGGTTCTCCGATTGGAGGATTGGCATGCAAACTGCACGAGCATACTGCCGGAGCTGTACAATTTTCTGCAATTAAGTAAGTTCTGGGAAGCTTGCAGATTGCATCTTTTCTATCTTAAGTTTTAGTCGTTCTGTGCATCTCTATACTACGTGTCAAAAAAGTCATAATTTTGATCATTAATAACTCTTATGTGAAAAATGGAATTAAACCAAAATTTCGGATCACATAAATAAGGCATGACAAATTATATGGAGCGAGTTTCATCAACTTTGCGCAACAGTGTGAGATTTAAACGCAATACGAAAAAAATGTCTGCCACTTTCGACTTGGCATCCTCCAATATCGATACACTGCTGGAGACGAAGGCGAAGGCGCGTGCTGTGGCCGAAAGTTTCTGAAAGAATGCAGGATCACCCCTGATGTCATTTCACACCTCTTCGATCATTTGGCGCAACACACGATCAAGAAGGTATGCAATGATATCAGAGGTGATCCTGCATTTCTTCAGAAGCTTTCGGCCGCAGCACGCGCCTTCCGCCACCGTCTCCAGCGCTGTATCGACACTTTGAAAGTATTTATTTCGTATGGTGTTTAAATCACACCCTCTTGCACATAGCTGATGAAACTCGCTCCGTAAAATTTGTCATGCCTTGTTTACATGATCTGAAATTTTGATTTAATTCCATTGGTAAACAACAGAGTTATTTAAGATCAAAAATGAGACAAGGTTTTTTTGACACGTAGTACATGTATTATGACCCTCCGTGGAAAAAAGACTGCAGTCAACTAAATCAACCATAAATATGTTGCTCAATTAAACTACGCCCTCCGCGGAATATGAATGTATACTTTGCTTCAAATAAAGGGGAAACAAAAAATATTTATTTTAAATTCAAATGTTACATTTGTACAATCATTAATTTTCAGATTGAAACACACACGTCCGTCAGTGGCGAAAGCAATGTGCTTTCGCCATTGAAGGGGGCAGTCGTGATAGCATTGATGGCGTGATGGGATTGCTCTTTAAGACAATGTCTCATTTACTCACACAGAGACTCTGGACACGGCGAAGATATCGGAGATATGCGACCGGCGCTCGTCCAACGTCAACCGTGCACCAACCAAGTCGATGCGTCCAGACACCAGACAGATATTGACCGACTTTTATCGGCCCTCAAAAGTGGATTTGGCAGAACTATTAGGAGATGATAAATATCTTTGGATCGATGAGAAATGACGAGGGTTATGTGATTTTTTTTCTGAAACCTATAAAGCATTGGATACATTTTTTTTCTCATCAATATAGTTGGGAAATATTTATGATGATGATCATTTGATAATGTTTAAACACCATGCGTAATAAACTTAAAAAAAACACCGTGCAATACATTTCTCAGAGCGTGACACACGACACCGACAAGCGATATCAAAATATGTTTTTAATAACGACTTTAAAACTTTCACAATGCATTATTCACATGTGATCGATATGATTGCATTACTAAAAACCTCTTTAGGCTAAGGGTCCATACAATGCAATTTTTTTTAAATGGAATCGTTGGAAATACACCTTTGTGATCCATCAAACATTATGTCCATTTTAATGAGCAAAAGTGTGATGTCATTTCAGGCAGAAACCTTAATGTAGATCTATTTCAGTGCCAAAAGTTACCAGAATTTTGGACATTTCGCTGTCGTAAATTTTCTTTCTTCGGTGATGCACTGTTGTGTCAGTACATGTCAGTAAGGCAATGAGCAAACTTTTCTGACAATAATGTTCAATAAGCAAATTTTTGGGTTCACAATTTGAACAGAAAACCCCCGGTGAACAGTGTCTTCCTGAAACGACATCACATTAACATTCAACTGCGCCATCGGTTGTCCTGGAAAGCATAGATATATATTTTTTTAATGTTGGAAGAAGTGCACTTTTTTGATAGAATTAATCAAAAGGGATGTCAAATAGTTTTCATATATTTAAGAGGAGTAGAAAGTCGCACAAAATATGTTCCTCGGAAAAAATTACTTCATGAAGCCTTTAATATTTCCCGATGGAAGCGTAACGTAAACTGTATTGTCTAAATGGCAAACCTGATGGCTATCCTGGCAGTGGCGTATCCAGTGGGGGGAGGGGGGAGGGGGATTGGCAGGGGGGCACTGTGCCCCCCCGGCGAATTTTTTTAACAATTTGTTTTTAACAGCACTGATTGAAAGTGTTTATAGAGTTCTTCTGACATCAATCCCACCAAAGAAATCCCGCTCAACAACGATTACAATGCGCCGTGAAAATGTCCATTTAATAATATAGTATACATAATAATGGTCAGTTTTGAAGAGCGCCCCCATTTGAAAGATGGGTACCAGCCCCCCCCCCCCTCCCCCCCCCCCCCCCCCCCCCCCCCCCCCCGCTTTTTGATTTTACGGAGGGCAAGTGTCCGGAGAAATAACATGTCTACATTTCGGCGCGGATGTGCGGTTCCCCCCCCCCCCCCCCCCCCCGACATCAAAAGCTGGATACGCTGCTGTATCCTGGGATCATATAACCATGTAAAAATATGGTTTCACAAACCTATAAATAAATATTTCACAAAGGCCACAATTATTTCACAAAGACTTACCGAGCTTTAAGCAACCACTTTCAACAATTTAGCGTGGATTCGCATACAACAGTAATTAGTATTGGCACCGCCGTTTTAGTTAAATGGTCGGCAAGGTCCGGTTCTCAAACAAAGTATCCGTATTTTGCAGAAGTTAGACTTCGCAGAAATTGTTTAATGTTCGTGCTCTTTGCAAGGTTGAGTTCGAAAAGAGCGGCTGTACTTGCTAATAGCTCAACTACCTGCGTTGCAACACAGTAAATGGGCGTGTTTTCGTGACCGTGACCAGCAGACACTGTCATTTATCGGCTTTGGTCATTGGTTGAGCGTTTTCGTGACTTCGGTTGGCTAGAGTGACGTCACTGTTCCGACCAAAACCGAACCAAGGCCAAGGGTCGGTTACGTAGTGCATCTCAAGATGGCGGAAAGATAAATTCACGACATGTAACAAAACAGTGTTGGGGGAAAATAAGCTTGCAGTGCTTATTATTAATACGTACATCGTAAGTTTGTACATTTTAAATGGCCTGTAATTAATGTCTATACAACCTACATGCCCAGGTATTATCCCGAATTTCGCCGGGACTGGCCGCGAACACCTAAAAATTATCGATGTTGTCAAAATGTCCGCCATGTTTGTTTACAACTTTTTAAATTGTTTTCGGTTCAGCGTTTTTGTGCGCATGTGTAAACATGTTTCTGGTTATAAATTTGACGTCACAAACATGTTTCTGGTCGCGGTCTCGAAAACACGCCCCAGCCAAAGGTTTTTTTTCTTCTGTTTCTAACACAACAGTGACCTCGCTTTCGTCCCAGCAATATGGCGGATCCGCGGAAGTGGCTAACTGGGCCTTCGACCTTGGTTTTTGAGAAAGGGCGTATCGAGGTTTGCCAATGCTTTGTCCAGTTCCCACTCTGGGTAGTGGAACGAGATGTTATACCGCAGGGCCCAGCGAGCAAAGACTGCTTTTTCCGTCATGAAGCGGTGTCCGCCACGCTTGTTGAGCTCAGCCCCTCGGTAGATCGAGCACTCTTTGCCTCTGTTGTTGTAGTAGTGATATGGGAAGTCCTTTTGGGGGTTGTGTCTGTCAATGCAAGGACATCAATAACAATGTGAAATCGGTTATGGATTTTTCCCCTTCATCTATGTAAATTTAGCATTAAACTTATTGCTGTTGAAGAGCTAACGAGAAAAACCATCATACAAAATAATTATGAACTATATTTCCATCATCAAAGCTTTTATGTTCTTATATAATCTCGTATGATCTCGAAATTCACTTTTTGAGATAATCTTATTGTATACTTTACAGGGTAAGTATAAAAAAACAGAAGGAAACCCAAATGGCAGGACCAATTATTTAATGAAGTACTGCATGTAGCACTTTCAAAATCAATGATATGAAAGCCCAATTAATAAGCTTTCTTGTTTTACAAGAATTATGCAAATCACTCTTTTACTTTTCAAGTTACGGAAAACGAAAACAAAGGGATGTATGTGAATTGTTTTCATTTTGCTGAAAGAACACTTACCTTTTTTGTGATCCGTGGACAGAACTTTTAAACGGTGTTTGTGTTCAAAATTCTTGAAAAGTACCAAATTGAGTGATTTGAATGATTCTTGTATTAAAAGAAAGCTTATTAATTTGGCTTTCATATCCTAGAATTTTGAAAATGCTACATGCCGAACTTCTTTAAAACAATGGTCCTTTTTTGACTCGCCCTGTATTCAAACAAGCATACACTCTGAAATACCCAGGGTTAGATTTGATTCAGAGTCCAGGTTCTTAGTTTCTATTAGACCTTATACTTGTCAGAGTTAAAATGACACTTTTCTGAGTTAAAATGACACCTTTCTGGGTCAAAACGACACATTTCTAACTCAAAATGGACTCTTTTCTGGGTCACAAGGACACAAAATGACACTTTTCTGGGTCAAAATGACACTTTCTGGATCAAACAGACAATTTTCTGGATCAAAATGAAACATTTCTGCCTCAAAATGGACACTTTTCTGCATCAAAAAGACCCTTTGTGGGTCAAAATTATACTTTTCTGGGTCGACATGACACTTTTCTGTTTCAACATGACACTTTTCTAGGTGAAAATGGACACTTTTCTGGGTCAAAATGACACTTTCTTGGACAAAATGACATTTTTTTCGATCAAAATGACACTTTTCTGGGTCAAAATGGACACTTTTCTGGATCAAAATGACACTTTCTGGGTCAAAATGACAATTTACAGGATCAGAATTACACTCTCTGGGTCATACGTCAAACGGATACGTTTGCTAAGGTTTTGGGTAAAAATGACCACGAAAATGAGCGAGAGAAGTTTCCTTTTGAGCCATTTCGACCCTGGCAAGTATCGAGTCAAAATAGGACCTGCCTTCCGGGTCAAATCTAACCCTGACTTTTTAGAGTGTGCTGTTAAAATACTTACGCGCAATGATCGGCAGTCACCATGCCGTAAACATGGATTTCCTGGCAAACATCGATGGCAATCATAAGAGTCAACCATCCAGTGGATAACCACGATTTGGTTCCTCCTCTGTCGAAAACAAAGAGTCGAAAAATATAGAGCGTGTAAGTTGAGATTTTACGAGAATATACAGCATATCCGGGCACCATATAGGATCTATACAACTTTGGTAACGCCCTGTTTTGCGTCCTACAGTATGACTAGTCATGGACCCATCCAATCAAGGGCAATGATGGGTAGGCCTACTTCGAAAGAACAGAAAGCATTTCAATAACAACATATTGAAAATATTATGCAAATACTAAATGTTTGTGAGCGCAATGGTAGAACAATTTCATGAGGTGACAGATGGTATTTTTCATTCCATGAGGCTAAGCCGAGTGGAATTTTCCATTCTATCTGTCACCAAATGATTTGTTTTATACAACACCTGGATAAGTCCTCGTCATCTGATTGGTCAGAGCCGCTAAAAGACCGTGGAATGGAACTTTACGGCCCAGCCGTGCGTTGGGACGATGAAATACATGTAATTCAATGACACGTGATCAACGACCCACCAATCAAATGACGGAGATTTATTCAGGCATTGTATAACTCGCATTGTATTGATGACTATTATAAAATTAAAAATGTTGACCTCAACTTCTTTTCAACCGATCACGTATAGGTCCACCTCGATCGTCCCCAGGGCTTACTTTACATTCAACCTCGTTTCCAATAGTAAGCCCTGGATATGGATAGGAAACTTTCGTCCTCTGTCCTGATTCGATACCGCAATGGGCAAGTAATGGATTTATATCGTGTGCTTGGTGTTGTTATTTCCAACGTGCATTACGTGTTTTAATTGTTACGTCCACACCTTTCCTAATGTAATCCTTTGCTTTCCAATTTGCTAATATTAATATGAAACGTGATACTGCATATTGGCTTGAGAAGATTGTAACATTTTAACCTGAAACAGACACCACATACAAAATAAACGCTGATTTAACGCATAGCCAGGCACCAGACTATTCCTAATTTGCATACGTGTGCAAGACTTTTAAATATGTAAGTACCAGGGTGAGAGAGCAGGTAGTGGTAGGAGCGTACTGCTCGACACCAAGGGAACGAGATTCCGTATAGATAACAATTGGGTAAATTCAAACACAGGGTCTCTGACTAGACTAGTCAATGTTTGGTACCAAGACGTTCACAAAACACGTGAACGTGGACTGGCGAGACTATTTTTCATCCAGTCTTTGTCACTGCAGTATAAGATAATAATTGTAATTGGCATTCCCTGTTCTTTAATGCACATACAAATTCTAGGCTCTACATCTGTCAGCAAGCAAAACATTTCAACATTCAAAAAATATTCATCTCTGCCCTTGGTGAAAGATTTGTGCTCTTGATCATTTATGGTTGGGAAATAGGAGAAGGAGGGCTGATATCATCCGATGAAAACATCCATTCATTTGCACGCCAGCTTCAGACTCAAATTAATCATTGAGTTTCAAGACCATAGGACTGGGAGCTAAGCCAATGTAAATAAATTCCCGGATGTTCTCGCCCACCTATAGACCGTTTCATGGATACCGCCATCTTTGTGGTCACGTAGTCATCTCAGAGGGTTTTTACTACAGAATACTGTCCAATCATGTTTAGGCATGATGAGATGTATTTCTATAGATGTTACTCACGGGGAAGCCATTTTTGATCGTGTTCCCTGAATGTATTTTATAAATTATGAACTGTTGAATGGGATGGTGCCAGACTATTTATGCGTTCCAAGCCTCACTTTCATTTTTGTTATGTGGCTTAAAATATTAGGGAATGTTTAATCACAAAATTATATTTATTCATTGGAGCAGACTGGTATTAATTGTAATTAACTTATTTCATTGCTTTCATTTCTATTGGTAAGTTCAATATTAATGAAGATTTTTACCTCGCTTTCAATTTAATATGGCCGACTCGTGAATAAAGCCTATTGTAATACCCCCTGACATTCATAAATAATAATAAATAATAATAATAACTGTATTGATATAGCGCCTTTTTCCAAAGGATACGAAGCGCTGGGGGAGAATGCAACCAAAGACAGGTACGGAAGTATCATAACATTATGAGACCCATTATGTAGCACCTTTTTGGTAGGTGCTGCGGCGCATAATTGCTGCCAATGCCAGAAACACTGGGGCAAACCCCTTCTTTAGCGACAAGTGTTACTGGGTTCTTTAACGTGCTTTTACACAACACACAGGACCTACGGCTTTACGTCCCATCCGAAGGACGAAGCAATAATGGAAAAGTGCCTTGCTCAAGAGCACAAGCACCATGTTCCCACAGTCAGGATTCGAACCCATGTACCACGGCACACGAGTCGAGCACCGTAACCATTGGACCACAGTGCCCGGTCAAATTCCGCGCCCTCTCGAGGTAGACATTACCACGTGACCACAAAGATGGCGGTGTCCATTAAAATGTCTCTGAAAGAAAAGGCTTTCCGCTTTCGGAATATTGTACTCACAACGGCTGGCCCGTTTCCTTGGTGAAAAGTTTCGCAGCCTCCCCCTCCCCTTCCACCGTCTGGCCATGGAAGGTTGACACCGCGCTCAGTCGCCCGGTCAAATTCCGCGCCCTCTCGAGGTAGACACTCCGCCTGAACAAGCCCCACACCATGACCCTACTGCCCGACGGCAGTTCCTCGGGTTTCAGCCCAGTCATGAAGAAGTTCATGACACGGAGAGTCGTCCGGTTACCCACGTCGCGCTGGTAGCCCTCCACGGGCGCCATGTTCATCCTGATGGTGCAGGGGTGGCTGTTGATTTCCTGCCCCGCTTCTTTGCCGAGAAGAAACCCCGAGCTGGACACGACGGCGCAGGAGGAACACCTCAGAGTGACTGGCTGCGAATTGAAAATAGAAGTCCCGTATCTAGTTAAACCAAAGTAAACATAGGCCTAAACAGCACTGGAAACAACTTCGTTCCCAGGGTGTCGAGCAGTACGCGCCATTCACTACCTGCTCTCTCACCCTGGTATTAGATCATTTGCATATGCAAAATCTTTGAACATGTATGCAAATGAGTAATAGTCTGGTGCCGTCCTGTGCTTTACATCAGCGTTTGTTTTGTACGTGGTGTCTGGGGTAAAAACAGAATAAATTCATCTTGTCATCTTCCACACCTATTCTCAGACTATACAAACTTTAAACCTCTGAATAAAATCTACAATGATGCAAAAGGCATCATGGATGACACAACTGTATCAAGTACCACTCAGCAATATGTTATCGTGTCTTTTGTGTTGTAATCCTACACCTCTTCACTGGGATACCATGTCAACTTTTGGGAACACGAAACTCATCACCTTTCTGTTTTGTTTTATTCTCAACCCGGAGAAAGTTACATTTTCAGCGCTCTCTCACATTTTGTGAAGGGTTTTTCTCAAACAAAAACTTAAAATCATCGGTAAGATTTGACGGGTTTCCTTTTGGGATAAACAATTCGCCTTATGCGTGCAAAATCATAGCGGGTACCAGCAAAATTAAGGAAAATTGTCCAGTTCTGATGTAAGTTCTGATGTATTTTTCAAACAGCGAAGCGTTGTTTTTAGGTGTTTTGTTTAGCCCCAACTTTTGTGGGAACGAAAGTTTCCAAGTCATTTTGATTGAATGACAATTTCGATTACCACGTCTTCCACAGACTTGTGTGCATTTATCTTCCGCATTTTATTCCGAAATACAAATCGTGGAATTTTGTTATGGACATTATTTCACCAAGCTCACCTCATTGTCAAGCAGTGATTTGTAGTGTCGAATAGCGCCACCTACCGGCGGTAGCGTTGCACTGGTGTTCATGTACAGGCGATATGGGTCCCTTGCATCCACAAACGCATCCTCAAATGCACCCGCCCTCTCTCGATCTCGTGGTGTGAACAACCAAATTCCCAAGAAGAGGTAGCCGAGAGAAGCCAGCAGCGCCGATCCTACGAAATATGCCGCTAATTTTCTCATTACTCGCTTCTTGAAGCTGCCGAGTTGAATAAAGCCGAGTTGTTAATTGTATGCACCTATCAATTATTCTGCCCGCTCCCAGGTTGGGGGGGGGGGGGGGGGGGGGGGGGCTGGTACCTACCTTCCAAATGGAGGCGCTCTTATTATGCATACTGCAAAATATACTGAATTTGTCTTTTTGTGGTATGGGGAAGGCAGTATATACAGGGTGATTAAAAAAAACCCGAATTATTCAAATCACTTATGTACTTTTCAAGTTACGGAATTTTAAACACAACCACCGTTTTTCACCAACAAGTTCAGTGTTCTTTTAGCAAAACGAACACAAATCCGATAGGGATGTGTGTTAATTGTTTTCGTTTTGCTGAAGAAAGCACACCATTTTTGTGATCCGTGGACAGAACTTTAGAACGGTGGTTGCGTTTAAAACTCCATTACTTGAAAAGTACACGAGTGATTTGAATGATTATTGTACTAAGAGAAAGCTTATGAAATGGGCTTTCATGTTTTTATTTCGAAAGTGCTACATGCAGAGCTTCACTAAAACAATAGTCCCGACATTTGGGATTCGTTTTTTTCACTCACCCTGTATTACCCGAAACCCAAACACTTACTTACGTTATTCTTCATTCGTTTTCAACTTGTTGCTGGGAAGGGAAATACGTCCGTTGAATCAAATTCATGCTCTTGAACTTGGCATGGTATCTATACTGGAAACAAATCCGCCTATGTTTTCATTGTGACCTAGCTGTATCTTGCCGAGAGGCTGGTGAAATTTGCCGATTGTGTTCTATCGAACAGTGTGGCTTACACCGTCTATGCCTACAGCAATAACGGAGGAGGCAGCATGTATGCGTTCAAAGTCCATCCTGTTATCACTAGATAGACTCAGCGCGTGGCCGTGTGGTAATTATTAATTTTACGAGTTCCGTTTTGATTCTAATCTGGTGAAATATTACCAAAAAATCAATACACCAATCACTGCTATACATGGTCAGGGCCGTCGCTAGAGGGGGGTGGGGTGGGGTGGGGGGGGGGGGGGGTGGAGGGTGTGACACCCCCCCCCCCCATCCAAAAGTTCTTTCGGCAAATCCATACTTGTTGCCGGCAAATTTGTAACATTGAGGGCCTTTTTTACATTATTGTTGTCGGCAAATTTTGAAATCTGAGCAGGCTTTTTTGTTTGTTTTTTTGCTTGTCAAATATTTCGCAAAGTTTGTTGGCAAATGTTACATTTCATACCTGCCATACATTTGTCTGTCCGCAAATTTGTAAATATGAGGACCTTTTCTTGTTTTTTTTGTTGTTGCTTGTCGGATGTTTTGTACGCAGACTTGTCAAATTTGGTCCGACACCCCCCCCCCCCCCATTGAATATGTTCTAGCAGAGTTGTAGTCGAGTACTTTCTGAGTACCAGCTTAGTTACCAGAGATTATGATGGTTTAGTATGGAGAAAGCTGCATAATGCAGACACTGGACAGTAAATTCCCACCGAAAGAAATGAAACACTTTAGACAATCAGAATCTTGAAACCAACTAACCCTTTCAGACAAAAGTATTCGGAAAGTACTCGCCGAGTACTTTTCAAGTACTTTTAGGGTACTTCTGTCCCAAAAGGTTAATTAAAAATGAGTTTTATGTAACCAAAGTCTCAAATTAACATTTTCTCTAACACTGACCTCATTTTGCTGTCTACTGTCAATGTTTCTCTTGCGTTGTTCGTAAGAAACAGCTCAATACTTGGTAATAAACAAAGTACTCGGAAAGTACTCGACTACAACTCTGTGTTCTAGCGACGCCCCTGTACATGGTATCAAATTGTGCCAGAGACGTCTCGCCTCAAGGTCCAGATTGCTTACAAAAAAAGTAACGTAGTAATCTAAGACCATGAGATTGACAATGATCGACTAGCAGTAGGCCTATTACAGATTCAGACCGTAGACCTATCGTCAGAACAACGTCCACAGTGTATAGCCAAAAAGACAACATGCAAGCATCAAGCACTGCATGGCGACTCGATGTATAATGCACAATCATATTTTCACATAAATATATCCAAAGCAACGTTTTGCAATCCTCGGTTTCATGCTCCATGAACCGTGAAGTTCTATTTGATTATGAATATGCATTGTTCAGTTCATGACCTCGTGTTTGTATGGCCAGCCGCCCGGCGCCTGACAAACGTCATGAACTGAATGCACATTCATAATATTGCCCAAGCGCGCCCGCATAATGCATCCATTACAACGCGGCCGCCATTTCGAAATCGCATGGAGGAACATTTTTGGGACAATATTCGTAGGAGATGATAATTGAAAGTCGGGTTTTTTTGTCAGATGGATGAAGATTTTTAGATAAAAGAACGTTTTTTTCGAAAAGGTATGAGTTCCTCTACGACTAGGATTCTTAACTTTGGAAATTTCTGTACTGAATGAGAAGATAATCTCGATCAAAATCGGTAGCAAAATCGCTACGTCAGAGTTTAGCGTTTAGGGGAGCATTGGCTGTCTGGCCGTACTACAGAGCTTGCCATAGTACTGTACGGCCAGATGCGGTCGGGCCAGTTAAGGGAGCGTCTCATAAGTCGGGAACGTTCGCGGTCCAATGTACGTTCCGTTGGAACGCCAGGCGTTCCATTGGCATTCCATTGGGAACGTGCCGTGTTCCCAATGGAACGCGGGTGCGTTCCGCGCAATGAATGGAACGCACCGATCTGCGGTCCAGCTGGAACGGGGAGGGAACAGCGTGTTCCCGTCGGAATGCTGCACGGCGGGATATTCGCAGTCGGGTATACGTACGTTCATTTTTTCGTAATATTGCAGGCCTCGGAGTCGGAGTTAATTCAACGACATATTTTTCTGACAAAGTGTGTATCGTCAATGGTAAGCTCCGCTTTTATCGTTCTATTTTAGTTGGTAAATTTATTAAATGGTAAAGATATAAAAAGGATTGTTCTTGCACCAGCATACTTGAACGTGAATACGCAATCACCGTAGCGATTGCATGTGATGTGAGGTCGGGGCTACCGAAATTTCAGCACAGAAACGATATTTACATCTCCATCAACGTTCACTCGTAACTTGTGTTGAACTAATTACCCAAAACATCATAGGAATTTCACAATCACGTCCAAATATTACCTGTAAATCCGCAAAAAAACAAGAAAAACCTACCGTTCCGTGACTCACGGGTTGCCGGGGATCGGGACGCCATTTTTCCTAACGCAATACGGGCAAATATTCTAAACTGGTCCATCGTGTACGCGCTATGCTGGGAACGTTCCACTGGAACGCGCAATAAATCGCGTATTCACAACCATTCCGCTGGACCGTTCTCGCAAAGGGATTGTGCCGTTCCAACGGAACGGTGGCCTGTTCCCAATGGAACGCAGAGCGTTCCTGTCTGGGAACACGTCCGGGAACACCCCGTTCAAATGAGAACGTTCGAGCGTTCCGACTTATGAGACGCTCCCTATAAATAAATTGGGGGATGCAATCGGAGCCCAATCATCGTGAAAAATGTTACCCTTGACCTCATTAATGTGCCATCTCAACAGAGGGCGCTGTAACGAAATTACAGAAACCCAAGTTTACATGTTACCGCAACAAACTTATTCCAATCAACGGTACGCCGTGATTACAAATTACAAAATATAGAAAACACCTTGAAATAACAAACTTACTACGATTCAAACCAAAACAAAATTAACATCTTGCCGCTACAGTAAATATTGTCAAGACACGGTCTGGCAATCTTACCTCGATATGGTACTGCCCATACGTGTGACCCTGCATGACTTGTGATTGACCCGATTTCATTGACTGCTGTGATGTGGGACTGGTGCTGCGCCGGTAATGCGCCATAATGCCTCATGTTTTATGGGGGGGGGGGGTAAAAACGACATATCCCGCATCACACAGCAGTGGGCTTCGACTGGACTACATGTAAGGTAAAGAAAGGTTTGCGGAAACACCATGTGTGAATAATTTCTCAACTAAGAGAATGGTTCTGAAAAGAACCAGAGGTATAAACTCGACGTTGCGGTCAGTATGCTCTGACCGTCTTCAGGAGAGTGCCTAAACTCTAACAAAGTAAACACTTGAGTAGCAAAAGCGAAATCGAAAACTAGACAAAACCGATATTTTCGACCACGTCAGGGGCGGATCCAGGTCAGGGGTTAAGCTGCAACGATGGGAGGGTAGCTTTTTTTATGTGCACACATTTGTTTCCATCTTTAATGACCTGTAACCGCAATTTTACCTTATCCTACCCCCACGAACTTTTTATAACTGGACCACGAGCAATCGATCTAGCCTATTTGCGAAGTTAAAATGTTGCCTCTAAGTAAGGAATGTGTAATTAGGGAGACATTGAAATGTCTCCCTAATTCGACGTGTCTCCCAAAGGTATAACTTATGACGCTAAAATGTCTCCCAAAGGGTATACTTGTTATAATTATAATAATAACGATAAGGTGTCTCCCTACATTAAGTAATATAATAGTAATAATATAGTATAATAATAATACTAATTGAATTTCATGCACGCATCACTACATAGTTGTTAATTGATCACAACAACATTTTAGACCCTGTGACCAAGTTCCAGATTTTGTAATCAAAAATTTGGCCAAATATGTATTTATCTCTATCTCATTAACTAATTAGTATTATTTGTAAAGAAAAATCGTGTATTTAAAAATCCAAATGATATAACCACCGTACAACTCAGCCTTACAGTGTCAAATAAACCAAATATTATAATAGTAATAATAATATTTAAAAACTGAAGGAAATTAAACCTAGTACAAACAATAACCGTGTTTGTTACAAAAAATATGCGTAATTCTGTGACGTCACCCTTTCACCATCACATTCTTAACTAACTACTGGTTCCAAAAAACGTTTGAACCAACTAGGCTGCCGTGGTCCTATTTTGTTAATATTTGTGGGCTTATTTTAACCCAACTTATCCAAAGCAAAATCGTTAAGACCCTCAACTTCACCCTATTCATAACCCCAAAAGTTTTCAAACCCTAAAACTCTCACCTATACCTGTAAATCCTTACCCCAATACTTTAACCATATAAACAAAGCGTGTTGAATAATGAACATGCAATTTGTATTTTTATTTCATAGGCTTAATGAAAATATGCCCTCCACTAACATGTGACCTGACCCCTAAACCTCCCCAAACCCGGGAACCCTCACCCACACCCGTTACCTTTAAATCCCTACCTCGAAAACTCTAACCCTATAAACAAAGCGTGTTGAACAACGAACATGCAATTTGTGTTTTTACTTGAAAGGCTTAATAAAATGCACTCCACTAACATGTAACAAGTGAGGAATACTTAACATTACATTATCTTTACCAATTGTTTACATCACGATACTGTTTAACAGCTTTACATAATTCCGCTACACGTGACGAGGAGGCTGATTTACATTCAATAAACAATTTATATATCTGATCTATACTATAGTAAAATGTCCCAAACAAAAGTGTCCGTCGACTTATTCGTTATAACTCCACAGAAATACATGAAAAAGAATCAGGAACAATACACCACTGAAGAAGGACCGGGTCCGAACGCTTGAGAATTATTTAGGTAAGCACTAATTTGCCGGAAATTTTCTATACCTCCATATAACTTGCATCATGCACTTAATTCAGACGTAACTAATAATACAAATTAAAGCACGATAAATTTGGCAAAAAGGACACGTAAAACATTCCAAAATTGAAATCAGCCTGTACATAATAAAGAAAAACACACAACAAACTTTTTATAACGAAAC